TTTTTTTTCCTTTCATCTTACCCTTTGTTACTGCTGCCTTTTTTAAAAAATGGCATCACATCTTTTCTGTTCCTTTGTTATTATTGTGCTCTGTGTGTGTGTGGTATCTAGTCCCATTATTTCATTAACTTCCCCCATTGATTTTCTTTTCTTCACTACTAAACTACCAATTTGGCAATTTTATGCTTTATTTTTGTTTAGTTAGCCCCATTTAAAACTTTATTATGCAAACCTGGTGGTGATGTCGCATACCTTTAATCCCAGCACTTGGGAGGCAGAGGCAAGCAGATCTCTTATGAGCCTGGTCTACAGTGCAAGTACCAGGACAGCCAAAGCTACACAGAGAAACCCTGTCCCCCCACCCAAAAAAAATATGATCACTTGTATATTAATTTATTTTCTCATTGCTCTGACTCAATATCTGATAAAAGTAACTTAAAAGAAGGGTTTATTTTTGCTCAGAGGTTGAGGATACAGTCCATGATGGCTAGGAGTGTATGGCAACATGAGCCAGTGCAGCAATAACCAGAAGCAGAGATGAATGTTGGTGTTCATCTTTCTCCCTTTTCCCCCTTCTAATATTTAGTGTATGTGCATGTGTGTGTGCACTTGTGTGCATCTATGTGTTTTGTGTAAATGCACATGTGAAGACTAGAAGAGGGCTTCCTTTGGAGCTGTAGTGACAAGTGTTTGCACAATACTTGTCTTATTACATAGTTGTTAGGATCCAAACTCCAATCCTTGTGATTATACAACTTCTCTTAAACCACTGAGCCATCTCTTTAGTCCACTTCCTTTTTTAAATTCAGTCCCTAGTACCCCAGCCTATGAAATGATACGAGTAGATCTTGCCACCTAATTAATCCATCTGCAAGCTCCCTTACAGATGTGCCTAGATATTCTGGTTCCTGTCATGTTTTGACAGTCATTATAAACCATCATGACTTCCAAATTGTAAACATTTAAATTAAAAATACTATCCTCTTGTGTGTTTTTCTTTTTTGTCTCTTTTTATTTTTACAGCACTTGGAATTGAACCTGGGACCCTGCCCATTCTTGGCAAGTGCTCCATACTAAGCCACACCCCAGCCCTTTATTCTTGCCTACCCTCCTTCCTTCTCAGATGCTGGAAATTATGAGTCCAGGGCCTCTGTGCCCTCTGACATAGGGTACATCCCTGGCCCTTCATCTTCTCCTACCCACCCCGTGCCCCCTCCTACAAAAGACATTTATGATATAATATTTGATGCATGCATATGTAACCTATTTTGTTTTATATTTCCTTCTCTTTATCTCAACACACACACACACACACACACACACACACACTGCCCTTCTTCATTTTGTTTTTTTTTTCTTAGCTAAAGTAAATGTTCGGAATATCTTTGATGTTCAAGAAACTGTAATCATAGCAAATTTTGTATCCAATTCTATTTTTAACATGACTGTAAGTATAAATTATTCCACTTGATTTTTTTTTTTTTTAACCATCATATAAGGAGGGCAAGAACAAAAGCTACTTGACATATTTCAAACAGAAAGGAAATGGTTTGGGGTACTAGATTACAAATTCTTGAAAGGGTTGGAAGAATAGAAGGGGAAAAAGATGTTTTCAGAGGCAAGGATTGAAGAAAGTCGTGTTTGGAGCCTTTCATCTACTTCACTGCCATGTAGCTGCTACAAGAGCCCCTGATTCTCTGTGGATACCCCACTGGAGGAACTCACAGGGGCCTGCTGCTCTGTAACAGCATGATCAAGAGAAGAATGGGCTCTTTTCTTCTACACTTTTTCATCTGTGGACTGCCTAATTGGAATACAGTTGGGGAAATGTAGTTTTAGCCTTCTGTGTGTACTGTTTGGGGAAGCATGTAGAGAGGAACAAAAATGGCTAAATGCCAGCAGCCACTGCACCCCACCCCACACGTTTATATCTCTGTAAGTCAGTCTGTAGCTGTGTTAGAATGTTAGTGAACATTGTTAGCTGGAGTTATTTAATGTAAGGTCCTAAAACTTCGGCAACTGCAGTAGATTAAGAATGTTTTATATGGTTCTCGAAAAGTATTGTAGAAGTCTTGATAGTGCTTAACTTCATTTTAAAGTGTACCTTAGGTCTGTCTTTTCATATCTTTCCTTCTCCTGTTAAATACAGAACAAAGTTTGAATTCATCTAGGAAATTATACTGATAGCACTTATTAATAATGTGTTATGTACTGACAAGGACATTCAAGGATTGGATTCTCCTCCTCCTTCATCCTTCACTCCCTCTCTTACCTTTCTCCTCTCCCTGTCCTCTTCCTTGTTTTGAGATGAGGTCTCGTTGGTCTCAAACATTTGAGATTCTAGGTTCAAGGAGTTATCAAAAGAAGTGTGTTTGGGTTTGAGGGGTTGGGGGGGGGGGGAAGAATGTCTCTCCGTATAGACAAGGAACTGGATATGTAAACCAGCCTAGCCTCATTATTTTTTCTTATGTGAGCATGAGTGTGGGTGGATGTGTGCTATATCTATACATGTGAAGGTCAGAAGGCAACTCTCAGACTTGGTTCTCTCCGTCCACCATCAGAATCAGAGATTGAACTCAGGTTGTCAGGTTTATGTGGCAAGCTCCTTTAGCTGCTGTGTAATCTTTCTGGCCCAAGAAAATCTGATTCAGACAGGAAGGTTTGAAAGTGCTGAGACTAAAGACCAGCAGTTGACTTTGGCTCCTTTTCAATAAGCATTATTTAAAATGGGCTAACTGGACAGGGAAACCCAAGAATAGGGCCTTTCATCAATTTTTCATCTAAGTTTTGCTTTGAAATTGCAGCTCTGAGAATGCCAGTGAGTTGCAGTAGATTTGTATAGTGAAGGGTAAGCAGCCAGCCACTAGATGTCGCTAAGGCTCTAGCACACCTTATTTTTGTATTAGTGTCTCCAGCGTTACTTAAGTGCAGTGTCCTTATATCTTTACCTGGTTAGGTTCTAAACTTTGTAAGACAGAAATCATGCATAAAATAAGATTTGAAAAACTCCTTAAAGAACTGCTGCAACACTCAGGAAACAGGCAGGTGGATTTCTTCTGAGTTCAAGGCCAGCTTGGTCTATATAGTGAGTTCCAGGACAGCCAGAGATACAGAATGAAACTCATCTCAAAGACAAACAACAACAAAAAGCACCATAAAAAAATGATGATATTGCACTTTGAATACCAGCTGAGGTGGTGTGGCTTATGGAGGCTTTGTGTGTAGTGGTTTATGGAGGCTTAGTTTAAATGTGACAATAATCAGCAGTGTGTTGATATGCTTACACACTGAAAGTTACCAGGGTTTAGATTGTATACCTCACACTTGAACTTTTGGACATGCCGTTCTTAAATGTAAGGACTGGAAAAATGGTCATTTAGAGTCTTACCTGTGCTGGATACACAAGTAAATTTTGTATAGAGCGTATGTGTGGATGGCCACAGTAAGAGATTGTCAGCATAAATACATGAAACTGCAGCCTAGAAGGGGGAAGCAGGACATCTGAATCAGAAAAGACAGGTTTATGTAAAGAGATTAGAAAACAGCCGGGCAGTGGTGGTGCACGCCTTTAATCCCAGCACTTGGGAGGCAGAGCCAGGCGGATCTCTGTGAGTTCGAGGCCAGCCTGGTCTACAAAGCGAGTTCTAGGAAAGGCTCAAAATCTACACAGAGAAACCTTGTCTCGAAAAAACTAAAAAAAAAAAAAAAAAAGAAAGAAAGAAAAAGAAAGAAAACAAAGGATATCTGCCATTAGCAACTGTTCCTTCAAAATCCTCTAAGACATTAAATGTGGGGTATAAGGGAGTTGTTGAGGGTCAGGTGTTGATGATAATACAGTAGAATATGTATAAATGTAATTTTGAGGAAAATCTCCAAAAAATACATGAGCTTGAAAAGTTCCTAGATAAATTATTTACTTGTTATATAAGAACAGTTGGTTTGACATTTATAGATTTAACATTTCTGCTATTTTACTTCATAAATAACCTTAGAGATTCAAAATGTGCCAAAGTGTGATTTTGCCAGTTCAGAATGAGTCCCATAGCTAAAAGTACCCTTGCCAGCTGTTCAGCCTCCCATCATAGAAGACCTGTGAGTTTTTCATGATTCATTGTTCCTGTCGAGGTGATAAATTCTTTCCTGTAAGATAGTGTTTTGAAGAATATAGATTTAATCAGGATAGGTATTTGAGAAAATGGTCTTGAGACAGTGACAGGACTAGAGGTATAACCGAGTACCCCAAGTTTAATCCTTAGCACAGGAGGGGTACATTTAATGACAGTCTTTTTAGGAAGCTGACTTTGAGACCTAGAAATGTGTGACATGAACAGAATTGCCCTTTTTGATGGTGGGAGACAGGGACTCACTGTAGCCCGGCCTTGAACTTGCTGTAGTCTTCCTCCCTCAGACTCCTAGGTGCTATGATTACAGGCATGAGCTCTTACACCCAGCCAGATGTGAAGATTGCTGAACGTATTTCTGTCCTTTACAGATATCAAGGTCTTCTGAATTGATTTAGTTAGGAAAAATATGCTAGTATTTGGGCAGCTGTTAATGTCTAGTAAAGAGTCTAAAGAGTTTAAAACCATACGTAATTTTGAATAAATAGGAAATCAGAAAGGTCTTTTAGATTTTGGTAATATTAAGAAAATTCTCTAAATATAGACAAAGAGCTGAAGAGTTCCATAGAAGGTGACTAACTATGAATGTATTATACATGACTGGAAAGTAACTGCAAGCAAGACTTGAGAGCTGAGCTATCTGGGTATTTTTATCCACTGTGTGGGGTGTTATACATGCATCACAGCTATAATAGAGCTATCACATGGGACATTTGAGAGGAAAGACAGAGGCGTTTGAAAGGGTTCTGTGCTTGGTTTCTTAGTCAGAGGCTGTATTACTTGGCATTCAACAACGAAAGTCAGAATCCAGATATTAAGAGGTGAATTATTTTCAAAAACTGAGTTGTAACAGAAATAATTTACTTGAAATTATTTCAGGAAATGGAAGATAAAGTGACTAGTCCAGAGAAAGCTGAAGAAGCAAAATTAAAAGCAAGGTATCCACACTTGGGACAAAAGCCTGGCGGTTCCGATTTTTTAAGGAAACGATTGCAGAAAGGGGTAAGTTATTGAGTATCTTCACTCATGGGGAAATGAACTTAGTGTGCTGACAGGCCATGAGATGAATATCTGCATTTTTAATCTCAGCATACCAGGTGCGTGTGTCTGTCTTTGTCAATATTTTACATAGTTCATATCATGAATATGTATGAAAAGAATCAATTATGCTTTAAATTATAAAATATTCAAGTATGTAGCATAGTACAGATAATAATGTAAAAGAATTCCTGTGACCACCACCTTCATTTAATATTGATATTTTGTCATCTTTGTAATTAAAGTAAATGTAGATATAACTCAAACCTACCCTGTCTTTTCTGTATGGTCCCTTTCCCTCTTTTCAAAGAGAACCGATGTCTAGAAACTGGTGGTGTACCCCACTGCCCTTATTAAAGCATTTACCATTTGGAAAGCAAGTCCCATGTAACATCCAGAGGCTTAAGACCCTTTGTATTTGGATGAAATGATCACTTGTAAAATCATCTAATTTGCTTCGTAGTTCATTCCTTTGATCTAATTTACATGTTATAATTTTAGTAGTTCAAATTACTGAAAACATTTCATTATTTCTTAGCATTGAAACAGTAGTGCTAATTTTCTCTCAACCCCTTCCTTCTTAGAAAATTAGAGTTAAAACACATTTGAATTCTTTATCATGTGAGGGTCAGAGAATGGTGGAGTATATGTGGAAGATAATTACTGTATAAGATGCTGGGTTTTTATGTTTCTCCTTAAGTGTATTGGTATTGGCTACTTATATACAAAAAACAAGTCTGTGGGTGTGCACCATAGTTACATATGGACTGTTTTCTCAACTCAAAACGCTGAATGTGATTTTTACAAATGATTTTTAAAGGTATCAACAAATAACATGTTTTTTTTTAAATGTGTGAAATGAAAGGATTCACATATTTCAAATAATAATATATGGGCAATTATGTTAAATATAGAAAAATGCAAATTTTCTGTACCATAACACAGAATCTAATAGGGAAATTATTCCAAATATCAGGGACCTTAAAAAACATTAGCATGATCCTAAATAAAGGAATTTAACAGAGGAAATAGAACTATTAAAACAGACACTGTTTACATCCATGATAGAAATCAGTGAAATTTCATCATACTAAATTCAACCAAAGTGGAAAAATATTAGAATAATTCCTACTGCTGAGCTTGAAATTAAATGTAGTTAATGAATTACTTGTCTGTATAAACATTAAAATCATTACTCTTAATTTTGAAAGTTTTATGGAAGATTCATGGAAATATTTACATTTGACTAATCTCTTATAAATTAATGTACGGGTGTAATTGAGAGAAAAATACCTTCAAATTTGAAGCTTTTTTTTTCCTTCTTAAAGCTTTTACTGTAATTAGAAGCAGCATCATTGTTCAGCATCAGAGAAATAGAAGTTATAATCAGTCAACAAAATAAAATATGTGGTTATTTGAAATATCAGAGTGAGAACTGCATTCATTAGGAATCTAGTTATGCAGGATGTGCATGGACTGTCCACTTACAGAACCATACTGTTAGGTATATTTTCAGCTATGACCTAATCATGTATAATCCTGGGCATCAGATATCTGTTTGCACTTGACTGGTTACTAGAATTTAGGAGACAGTTTCTTCACAACAGAATTAATATATCTTAAAGTTGGTATCGTAGATGTAAATAGTTGGAAATGAAGTAAATGCCTCTTGAATCAAATCTATAGAATTTGAAATTGAATGTTTGAATGATTCTGTATTTTCCCAAACTATCAGTGAAATAAGCCTTTTTGTTGTTGTTCTAGAATTTGTTTCAAGTCTGAGTTACAAGGTTCTAGGTTTCAGTTTTTCTCTGCCTTGATAGTTGACAAGCTAAGAGACTTAGTTTCTACATTATTTGAGAGGGTTGAATTAAATTTAATTACCGTATTGGATCTTTTTCTATATTGTTCCCATTGGTGATATTATGAAATTAATGTGTTATATTTTCACTGGGCTTCTAATAATAATATCATGTCCATGGTGAGTTATAGCCCATCAGAGTGGGTAAGGATTTGAACAGTCTAGCCCATGATTTTCTGTATTTGTAAGGTTTGTAAAGTACCAAGACTGAGGGCCAAGTTCTAATAAACATGACTTTAAGGTTTGTCATGTTAGGTGATAACGTACATAGTGTCAGTGCTGCTCAGTTTTAGTGGGAAATCAGGTGTGGTGTAGCACTTGGGAGGAGAAGACAAGAGGATCAAGAATTCAAAGTCGGGTTGGGGATTTAGCTCAGTGGTAGAGTGCTTGCCTAGCAAGTACTAGGCCCTGGGTTCGATCCTCAGCTCCAAAGAAAAAAAAAGAATTCAAAGTCATCCCTGCTACATAGCAAGTTAGAATTTGAGGTCAGCCTGGGCTACATGAGACATTGTCTTGAGTGAGTGAGTGAGTGAGTGAGTGAGTGAGTGAGTGAGTGAGTGAGTGAATGAATGTGATGAGAGACTTGTAAGATTGCCTCCATATGATCTAAAGTATGTTTTATTTGGTTTTAAGGGGTTTATTTTGCTTGAGATAGGGTCTCATTATAGCTCACACTGGCCTGGGGCTTACTAAGTAGCCCAAGCTGGCCTCAGACTTGCTCTGATACTCCTGCTGCACAAAGATTCCAAACTGAGGATTATAGGAAGTAATCTAATATATATGGCGTGTGTGTGTGTGTGTGTGTGTGTGTGTGTGTGTGTGTGTGTGTGCATTTATACACACACACACACACACACACACACACACACACACACACACGCACACACGCACACTCTCTCTCTCTCATGAAGTTTAGAAATTGTTAAACATCTAAAAACTGCTAGACTATATCTGTTGGACCCTAACCTGAGAAAAAGCAGTCTCCTTCACCTGTACCACCTGTCAGTGTCTGTTCTGCCGGGTTTTGTTTTTCCAGTATCTTTGTTCAGATTCTCTGGGCTTCACTGTGAGTTTAAACTCTAGCAATAGTAAAATGTAACTTTTATTCTCTTCAGCAGAATATCCCAGTATGCAATTAAATGAGATCCTTTTCTGATTAAATTTTTCTAGTTAGAAACTGAGTTCCATTAAATTGGAGGAAATTATACAGCCTACAAGATGAGAGAGAGAGGGTAAAGGCTCTTGTTGCCAAGACTGGCAATCTTAGTTCAGTCCCCAGGACTCACGAGGTGGAATGAGAGAAGCAGTTGTAAAAATTGCCCTCTGACCTCCACATAGACTCTGACACACATACCCACTAAAAAAAGTTTTTTAAAAAAATTGTTTGTTTATTTATTTATTTATTTATTTTAGCTTGCAGTGTTTCTTATTTTGTACATTAAGTAACACAAGAAATTTACCAGGCTGCTTTGTTGTCCAGATGCCAGCCAGTAAAAGAAGCAGTGCTCCATTTTCCTTTTTAAGACAGGGTCTCGTAGTTGAAGCAAGCTTTGAGTGTCTGTCTTCCTGCCTCCGCTTCCTGAGTGCTGGGATTCCAGGTGTGCCACACATAGTTAGCTAGAAGCAGCTTCTTGATTTGGGGGCATTAGAATTCCACACTCTTTTTAAAGCATCACGCAGAAATGATACTGCAGCAACCTCAAAAGTGCCTTGCCCACATTTCATTGTTACTGCTCCATATAAAACTTGTACAGTGCTATCCAAAAAGTAGTTTCTAATCATAGATCCATTGGCTTTAGGCCAGATGGGGCTCATCAAGAGACTAGTCAGGAGGAACCAGCTAATAAGACCTGCTTCCTAGGCCATTCAGCAGTCTTACGCTAGCTGTGAGTCCCAGCTACTTCATTTTAGGGTCTGTAAAGTCTGTGACATTTTTTCTTCTCATTATTTATCTAGGCCATCATTTCATCACTGTATCATTTGCTTTTGCCAAGCCCAGACTTTAATGACCAAAACATCTTTGATTGTAAAAGTTACTAGGATGGTTGATATAATTGGTCATTTTTTAATCTCTTGCTAGCTCTTGATATATTAGTTTATGTATAGCAGACATTCAGTAGAAATCAGCTAAACATGATGGATATAAGCCAGGACTCAAGCTATGGTTTCTTTATTCTTCCAACCAAAATCAGTCTAATGGTATCAAGAACTTTTAAACTCTAATCTAATTTTTTGTTTTTGTTTGCAGCAAAAGTATTTTGATTCTGGGGATTACAACATGGCAAAAGCAAAGATGAAGAACAAGCAGCTTCCTGCTGCAGCCCCGGATAAGACAGAGGTCACTGGTGACCACATTCCCACTCCACAGGACCTTCCTCAGCGGAAACCATCCCTGGTTGCTAGCAAGCTGGCTGGCTGATTAAAAGAGCTGAACTGCATGGGTCTTCTAATGTCCTTTATTTCTCCTTACTGCGTTACTTACCCACTTTCTGTTTCCTTTCACTCACTATGTCATTGGAGACTGACAGCTTTGCAGGTAGTGGTAGTGTGTGCTGCTGTTGTAAGGGAGCATACATGTGTAGAGGTTTGGGTTAGTTTAACAGTGCACTGATGCAAAGGACATGTAACAGCAACTTAAGTAATTGACGTTACAATAATTGTACATATTACCTAGCTGGTGTAGGGCTGGCTCCAACAAGTAGCAAGCAAGTTTTACAGCTTTAATGTTCTGGCTTTCCTTACTTCCTCGTAATTACAGCTTTGTATGTTACTCTTATTTAATAGAACCTCTGTTGTATTGATTTCTTCTGTATTTTCCTTTTGAGTTTTGTAAGACAGAAGTTTAAGACCACAAGTTGGAAGACAAGTCACATAATTCAGACACAAGTAAATGGGCTGCAAAAGATTTGAATAACTGCTTGGACTTGACGGCCTTAAACCTGCTGTTCCAGCTTTAACAAGAGCATCTTACCTGGGCGATATTTGCCCGTTCTGGTGTGACTTGTGTGACTCCAATGCTTACCAGCTGTCATTGACGCTCATGCTCTTCCTCGGGTCTGCAGTGCTGGGACAGCTTTCTTTGTTGAAGACGTGAATGGGTGTGCATGTGCACTGACTATTGCATTCACTTTTGTGCCATTTTTGTAAATACAATAGTTTTGCACAACCTTTTACAAATGTCTGTATTAATTTCACCATATTAGAAAGTAGATAATGTGCCAACCAGAAGCACAAGACTTCCTACACAAATCTGCCCACCATTACTGCTTTTGTATAAGAATAGTTTACAATCTTGAGCTTATTAGAATACCAAACTGAAATTACTCACCCTGATACAGAATTAAGCATTTTCATTTGTTATTAATATTCATGACTTTCAGTGGCCTTGTACAAATATGATATGTTGCTTAGGCATATCTTTTGTTCTATGCAGAGCATTTCATTTTGACTCTTTACAAAAAAATTACAATTCATGTAATTTATATAAACTTCCTTAATGTAGAAACTTTTTACTTTCACACTCAACTTTGGGGATACTAAAGTTAAAGGCTTGCATTCTCTGCCTTCTATGTTCTTCTCAACCCCCATCTTCTCTTTACTTTGCTTCTGTGACTCGTGTTGGGCTGTTCCATTTATATGAGAGCATACATGTCTATCTCTACTTTTTAAACTTGCTTAAATAAAAGGATTTTTGTGAGGGTTTTTTGTTATGCTGAGGATCAAACCACTGTCTCATACGTGCTTAACAAGCACTGTACCACGGAACTACACTCTTATCCCTAAGGGAACTTTATAATGAAGCAAGTAGTTGAAAAGATTGGTCTAGGAAACTATCAGGATAAGCTGAATTCTGGTTAAATAATTTTAAATAATTAGGATGAACTAGGAGAATTGGGCTTATAACAATTACAGTGATTTATGTGATAGGTAAAACATTCATATTAAACTATTTAGGTATCTCCTATACATGTCATTTTAATAAAATATCAATTTACTTTACTTGTGGTTTATGTGATAGTGAAAACATTAGCACACTTTGTTGGGACACGTTTACTGTTCTCTTAGAGCCCTTCCTCCAGGATGTCAAGCCTAGGGGAAGCATATTGAGCTGCAGCAGCCTGAGCTGATATTGTTCTTTCTCTTCATCTTGGGCTGGGATGAGACCTACCCCACTATGGGAATCCAGGCATCATTTTGTATTGTGGCTATATGCACCTGCTTTCCTATGGTTTCACACTTGTGATTAGTCCTGCTCCACTCAACCTGAAAGGAAGAAAAGCAACACACTCTATACTCTACATTGGTAATTTTACAGCTTAGTTCTATGTCAGTGTATTTGTAATGAGCAAATGAACTATTCTGTAATATGTGTAATTCACCATAGGATTGATATCTAGTCTTTTTTCCCCCCATGGATATTTGCAATCCCATCACCATTAAGTTCAGATTAGATGAATCTGAAATCAGAGTGGCCATGCTCTTCCTGACCACCAGACTCAATTTATGACAAGTGAGTAACACCTGCTTGAGTTTTGGTTTGTAAAATAGGACACTGATATTTAACCTACCTCAAGACTTGAGGATCTGTGAAATACTAAGTGCCCCAAATAAAATCACTATCAGAAGTAAGTTTCCTCACTAAACCAACCTGCCTTCTATAAAGTAGCAGTGCTTAAATAAAATCTCAGGATTTTCCACGAGGAAAGACCTGTTAAGGATTTGTACGTATAGCTGCATAGCTTCCATTATTGGTGCTTGAGAGGAGTTTTACATTTTCCTGTTTTGTGTTCTGCTTCAAAGCTCAGTTTATTATAGACATTTTTGTAGGCTCTTTGGTCATCATTTAGTGAAGATTTTGATTAAATGAGCTTAATTGTCCATTTCTGTGTCAAAGTTGTGTCTAAGGAATGGCTAGTTTTAATGTTAGAGTAAACTGAAGTTGATAAAAATACTAAAGGCAAACTGGCTAAAGTCTAAAGTCTGTTTTGTTCAGTAGCTCCTATGAGAAATATCTTGAAGGCTACATCGACAGTTGCAGCTCGTGTCTAGTTGGAATAGCATTTGGATAGATTGGAGGGGGCATGTTTGTAGTCTACAAGTTGTTAGATAATTTTGTACTAATGAAACAAGTCCAAACTATTCAAGGCAGTCATGACAAGGCCTCTTCTTGTTATTACTTCCACAGTTAGAATTAGTTGCTCTTTTTACTTGATGTACCCAAAGTATACCTCTGAGTATTGATAGTTACTAAGTCAGACTTGTATTCTTAATCTGAATATCACAGTCTTATCAAAACTGAACTATCAACCCAAACTCTGCTCTAAACTTACTATTTGATGGTCAGAAACAGGTAGCTTGTGGGAAGAGCAGTTCTGAGTGGCTACCAAGGCCTTGTCTGTGATGGCTTCATCACATCCCCCAGTGTTCAAACTCACTACTTCATTGTAACCCATTTCTGTCACCCTGTCCCTCCCTGAAGCCCACTGGAAGCACCTACGTTTTCTAAAGCACCATCTTGATCTCTTACCTGGGTCCCTTTCTCCAACTTCTCACTACAGCGTTTAGAAATCAGAATCAAAGGAGCTTAGTGTGGCTTGTCTATAAATGACAATTGGATACTCTTAACTAGTTGTTCCAGCTTTTGAAGTAGGTAGACCTGTGGGTTTCAGTTCTATAAATTCCTGGTGGTAGTGACACCCATTCGTGTATGTTTGTATGGTATTTATCAACTAAATAGCAGTAGAAATAATCTTAACTCCTTTAGTACCATGCCCTCAAATCTGTCACTGCTTTTCCACCATTTGGTATGCAATAGGACACTGTATGCAAAGGGCCAACGTAAATGCCTTTTCTTGTTAAAGATGTCTGTAGAGTTGGCGGTTAATGCTGAAGTTTGTCAAATAGCCCTTCCAAACTTATACTTGTAAAATACACCCAAAATAAATGGATCTACCTAATTTTTATTGATTTTAATATGCAGTTTTGTCTTATTTGTTAATGTTTTTCAGTATGTTTTCTGAAGTTAAGCCACTATAAAGAAATTATTTGTGATCTTAGATTTTGTTTTCATTTAAGTGTGTTAATGAAACCCTGCTGTTCTCATCTTGCTGTACTACAGTAGTAATATTAGATACAGAAAAATGAAAGAGACAGGTGGAAATAGTTTCAGGAAGTCCACAGGGCTGAGGATATAGCTTAGTTGGTAGAGTGCTTGCCTAACTTGCACAAAACTTGGGGTTCAGTTCCTAGTGCTTTATAAGCCGTGTCTGCATGCACATGCCTGTAACCTCATAGGGAGGCAGGAAGGAGGACCAGGAGTTCATAACTTCATAAGACCATCCCAGAAAAGTTCTAAGAATTCTATAGGAATGAGTGCTTCAGTGTAGAACAGCGACAAGTTTTCAGATGGAATTAGAAATCAGGTGCTGTGAAGGTAGGTAGAAGGAAGAAAAAAGTGCATTAAGGGTGAAGGAAACTTCATTCTCACAAAAAGAAGGACTTGGAGAAAGGTGAGCTTATGTAAGGAAGTTGGTTGAAAACAGCATGTAGGCAGCTTGGTTTTTCTTAAATTTGGTCCTCTCTACACTCATACTCTCCAAATACCTCCATGATTTCACCAACTCAGGCATTTAAGAGCTCTGAAGTTATCTTCATTTCCCCCCTTGGGGGAAGTAGTGACCAACACCCATAAACCCTTATTTATTATACCATACCCAAAACCACTAATGTTTTTTGTTTTATTTCTTGAGGCAGGATGTCTAACCTAGGCTGGCTTCAAACTTACTCTAGGCTTCATTTGGACTCAGGGCAGTCCTCCTGCTTAGCCTCTGAGTGTTGGGATTACAGGTATGAGCCAGCATGCCTGCCACCACTACTGTAGCTGCTAACTCTTCTGCTCTCTGCCCTCCTACCCTGACCTTCCACATTCATTGCTATGGAAGCCACAGTGGTTTTCTTAGAGATCTTGTTTCGTTGCCCAGGCCTGCCTTCAGTCTTGGGCTCAAGTAATACACTTAAGCATCCTGAGTAGTTGAATGCCCACCTGGCAACACAGTGATTTTAAAAATGTGAGTCTCATATAGCCTCTAGAGCTTGGGTGTGGAATATTACAGAATGCAGTGTTCGGAGGAGGGTCTTTTGGTTATGAGCTCTTATCTAATTGACTGATGGATTCATAATCCAATAGACTTGTGAGGAGGTGGATACGATGCATGCTTATGGAGACTGGGTTGCTGAGGACATATTTGGGACACTCTGGTTCTGGGTCTCTTCTTGTCTGCCATGAGGTGGGCCACTGCTCCATGAATATGCTTTTCACCACTGTTTGCTTCACCATACTCAGACCCAAAAGTAAGAGAGGGGTGGGACCCTAAGGATGCAGTAGTGGCATGTATACCTTGTTGGTAATCAATATCTCTATTGGACTTCTAACTCTTAATTGTTTCCTTGGATGTTATGTCACAGCAACAAGAAACTGTGCCCTAGTTTTGTTTCCTATTGCTGTATTGATAAAAATACCTTGACAAAAGCAATTAGAGAGGAAAGCATTTATTCTAGCTCACAATTCCAGGTTCCACGAAATCATTATAAGTCACAGTAGCAAGAGCTTGAGATAGCTGGTCACATTGTATTCAATTAAGCAGAGAGAAAGCTGGGTGGTGGTGGTGGTACACACCGTTTATCCTAGCATTTGGGAGGCTGAGGCAGGCCAGCTTGATCTACAAAGTGAATTCCAGGACTGTAGTAGGACAGGCCCATAGGGTCAAGGAAATTGGCTCAGACCAGTTGCCAAGGCATGCACATAAAGTACTCCTTATGAGCCAACCTGGAGTCTGCCTGAGGGCCTAGCAACAATCACTATCAGAGTTCCTGATTGTGCCCAGTCAATGAGGGATGACCACACAGACTGTGTGCTGGGAGGAGGGTATATAAGGCCTTCCCTGTTATTGGATAAATGAGTTCATTATTTGCCTTCAATGGACTCCTGGTGTGTGTGCCATTGATTCTGTGCCTTCTCAACCCCTCCCCCAAGGGAGCCTTTAGAATCCAAGCAACACAAGACAAAAACAAAAATAAAACAACAAAAAACAGGAACATGCATTCTAGTGCTCAAATTATTTTCTTTACTTAGTTCAGTATTAGCACTCTGCCTAGGTAATGGTGCCACTCAACAGTGGATGGGTCCTTCCACTTCAATTAATATAATCAGGATAATCCCTACAGATTTCTTCCACAGACCAACCTATCCTAAACAGTTCATTAAGATTCCCTTCCTAAGAATCTCAAATGGCTTAAAGACATTTAAGGAAATGCTCAACATCCTTAGTCATCAGAGAAATGCAAATCAAAATGACTCTGAGATACCACCTTACACCTGTCAGAATGGCTATGATCAAAAACACCAATGACAGTCTATGTTATAGAGGATGCGGAGCAAAGGGAACACTCCTCCACTGTTGGTGGGAGTGCAAACTTGTACAACCACTGTGGAAATCAGTATGGCGGTTTCTTAGAAAATTGGGAATCGATCTACCTCAAGACCCAGCCATACCACTCTTGGGCATATACACAAGGAATGCTCAATCATACCACAAAGGTACATGCTCAACTATGTTCATAGCAGCACTATTCGTAATAGCCAGAACGTGGAAACAACTTTGATGCCCGCCAACTGAAGAATGGATTAAGAAAATGTGGTA